CCATCTTTGAGGGCGGGGCAGTCAATTAGCATATTCCCTCCTTATTGGCTGTGGGCACTGCCATCTTTGCCACGGCGTGTCCTATCATATGACAATATGATAATTGATTTCCACATTCATAGTTAATGTCTTACCAAAAGGAGCCACCCATGGTTCTACCTCAGATCACATAGCCAAGAAGGGGGCAAAGCCATGGTTTAAAACCAGGCTGACTCAAATGGCATGCTCATCCTAGCCCCTCACAAAGGCCAGATGCTTTATTTTGCATCTGTTGATATAATTACTTTGCAGTGGTTCTCTTATGTTCTGTCTTGTCTTCTCCCTAGGTGAATAAATTGCAGCTCTCTAAGACAGTGACCTGTTCCTTATTTATTTATTTATTTTTACATCCTTAGTCCTGGAAATTAGAACAGCACATTTCATATACAGTGGAAGCGTAATGAGTCCTTGCTAATCAAACCAAAATGCACTGAAAGCTAAGGAGGAGATATTAGGTTGAAATATGTGAAACTGTTAACATTGTGCCATTTTTGGCTTACAAAAGAGGTGATTTTGTTTGTCTTAATATACTAATGTATTTGATAAAGCTATGTCTTCATTTCAATTCATATTTTTAAACTGCAGAGCTGTTGCTGCATAATATAAGTGGTATAACAGTGGAAGTCTCCTCATGTGAATCTCACAAAACTAGATTCATCTATGTAGCTCTTCAGCTGTCCCCTGCATACAAATGCCTTGGGCATGCTGGTTGTCCATATCACCATCTTAAACCTATAATCTAATGAGTGCTGAGGCCGAAAATTCTCAGTAACTTTGGGCTCAAACGTCCCATATCTTTGAGTGCTCTTCAGAAAGTCACTTAGCTACTCTGAATGTCACCTCTAAAATGAACCTAAATGTAGCTGGTCTACCTGTTTCCTTAAGTTGTTCTGAGAGGCCAAGAAAGTGGTAGGCAAGCTGTCACAAAGACCAGATGGCCAGATCTACTTGTAAGGCTTAAACAAAATTCCTGGCCTATAGCAAATGCTGAATATATTTCTTTACAAAAGGACTTTCCAAAATGTGAGCATTTGTGCTAAGCAAATACATGAGGTACAAAATCCCAGGCCTCCTTAGCCTATGTTTGAAGCCAGCTCCTTCTCAGGAGGTCACCTTGACCAGTGGTCTCACTGGGTTGGTTTTGTAAGCTAAATTATTCTGTCCTTGATGTCCTTGAGCCCTGACAAAATATAGGAGCCAACAAAAAGCCCCTGGAACATCCCTGAAAGTTCTGCTAAGCCTGGAGGCCGAGCCTCTGGCAGCAGGTCCAAGTCCCCAGAGCATCTTGGCCCAGGAAGATTGTCTCCTCCCTGACCATTGGGAAATGCTTTCACAATAAGACATATCCAGTAGGAGGGAGAGGAAACAGTTGGCTTCTTCCTGGGAGAATGGGATATGAGGATGGATGGAGAGAAATACAATTGGCTACGAGGTTCATACCACCTTCCCTTCAGGCCTTATTAAGAAGGTGACCAAGAGACTAGAGACTCTGCCCTCAGGAGAATGTGCTCATAGTTGTAACCTAAGATGTGTTTATGCTGGGGATTCAGGAAGAGCCCTGGGCATAAATCCTTCACAGATGCCTGAATCTCACCTATGAATGGGAATTGTTCCTTAGCATCAGGCCTGGCCTTCTCCCTGTCATTTCCTTCTTAAATATAAGTGATCCTGGAAGAAAAATGTTTGAAATCACCAACAACTGGGTGCCTTTGTCAGATCACCAGCCTCCTGGCAAGTGTAGAGAACAGAGGAAGAGTGGTCAATGGTGGGGGAGAAGAGGCAAAGGGTAAAGAGGTGGGTGGTAAGACCAATGTCTCTTACTGATGCTACGGCATTTCTAAGGAACAGGACTCTCTGTGTGGGACCTTTTGGGGTGGAGTTCCTGGGGTTGGTGGCTTCCCATCTAAATGGGTTTAGGGACAGGACTGGCCAGGCTTACCTACCACTGAAGTTCTCTCCACTCCTGGAACAGTGTGGCTACCACACACCAGAAGAGATGTCCAAAGCCTAGTAGATTCCAAGACTATTAACCAAGTTTTTTAAACACCTACTTTGCCAACAGTACTGCGGGTTACAATCAAAGAGCACTCAGCCATCTGAGGTACTTACCGGCATAGGAAGCTGAGAGGCCCAGGATGCTAGAAGGAAGAGCCAGATATGCTACTAATTTTCAGATGAGGTGACAAGGCTGAAGCTCGTTATCAGCTCCCTATACTATGTTAAAATCAATGTTGATTTTAATGCAAATAGGTAAGAGGATAATTCACAGGTGAATGTAATTGATTTTAATAAATTATAACATTAAGAGCAAAGAGGATAAATATGTCATCATGTGTGGTAGTTTCAGCTAATTGCTTAACACAGAATCTCATGAAATCAAATTGGCAGAGATATTGGTATTGTCAGCAGACTCCATAACTTCCAAAGAACAAGCCCAAACAAATGGGATTGAGAAAAGGAAAGTGGAGGAATGAGGGGGCCCTGGAGGGTGCTTTCAGAGTATAGATACTTCATTAATGATCTAGTAGTAAACATCTTCATGAAATTCACAGATAGTGCTCAGTTGGGGAAACAGGAATGCCTGTGAGAACTGAATCATAAATATATGTACCAAAGGAACCAGGGGGTCAGCTAGCTTGGGCAGGAAATAACACTGATGGCTTGCAACTTAATGTGCTGAAGGGAAATAGATCAGAAAACACAAATATTTAATATGAGGAAGAAAAACTAGAAATCAATAAGACCTGGAAAGACCTAAGGGTGATAATAATTAGTGAGTCATAGGCATTTGCCATGTAACTGAGGAGCCCCAATGCCCAGCATGATTGGGAGCTGGGAGGCCAAAGGCACTTTCTGGAGACACAGAGCTGCTGATGCAATTCCCTTCTAAAACAAATGGACTCAGTTCCAGAATAAAACAGCATGTGACAGATACATGCAGGAAGGTCAGGTGCAAACAGGTAAGATGCAGGGAGAGGAAGCACTATCTATAAAAGCAAGAGAAGAAGCAGAAGGCTAAGGCATGGTCTGGCCCAGCCAGGTGGCATATTCCCAACTTGTGGTGTAGCAGAGTGAGTGGGCATTAACCTGGGTTTAAGCCCCTAACTCCAGCTCTGCTGTTATTAGTAGGATTCCTGGGGTTCCCAGTTCCTGTACTTGTATAATCGCTGCCTCATACTTGCATGGCCCAGGTCTCAACACATGATCAAATCAGTGCTCGGTAAGATAGTTCTCCTTCCCCTTGTTAACCACATCAATCCCTTTCCCCAAGCCTGGAGGAGGTCCGATGAATTCATTGGTCCCTCTCACAGCCCTAGTGGTGACACAGTTCAGATAATCTAAACTTATAGATCACCATACCCCTCCCCCAGTGCACCAGCCTAGAACATCCTGGCAGGTGTGTGAAACCTGGTACATGACTTATGTCCTCATGGCAGGTGTACCCATGATGCCATATCTGCCCATAAGGAGCACTTGTGCCCAGGGCAGCAGGTATCCTCCCATCCCATGCCCTCCATGCACTCCTGGACCCCAGCAGGGGCATCGGGTCCTGCAGCACAGGAAGTGAATGGCCCCAGAACAAGCTCGAGTCTTTTTAAACCACTCTCCAGTTCTGTTCTCTTTCTCTCCTCCGCCATGCTGGGTTGTTTCTGGGAGGCTGGCAGGGAGAGTTATGCTAGGTTGAAGACTTTCATAACTCTCTATCACATAATCACTATTTCAAACCCTATTCTGACCCCCATGCCCAACCTCATCTTCAGGTTGGTATCCTCTGCCAGTCCCTTAACAAAACAAACATTGATTTATATGAGCTGCGAACAAACCAAAGGAGCAACACCCATCATCAGGAGAGTAGTGGTCAACAGACCTTCATGTGTATTTTACGTGGAAAGAATCAAACCTAAAACAAGGTTCCTACAGTTGCAGGAACCTTGTGGGCAAGCCATCCTGTCTAATGATCAGGATGAAGTGAGCTTATGTTCTAAGCTTCATGAGCTGAAACAGAGAAGTAGCTGTTCACTACAAAGTTATAGAATAATGTGAAAACAAATAGCCAGAATGCTTTTTTGTCCTGTAGGTGTCCTCCTGCTGAACATACTTGCCTAGAATGTTACAGTTACCTCCACCTGTGGAAAGAATGCTGAAGGTTTTCTTTCTAATCTTTTTCTTTTCAAAACATGTAACACTGGTAATCAATACTGTCCCTCCACATCCCTGGACAGAGGTTTCAGATAGTTACCTCTGCATTGGACTCCTCCATCCTACATTTCAGCCCCTTTGGTTGCACTGCCATGGTCTTCCAACAGGGCCTTAGGTGACTCTGTGGAGAAGTAAGGTTGCCCCCTTTATGACATAGCAGCAGTCGACACAATCCAATCAGGAGAACCCCGCCAAGGAAACGGCTGCTTAGCAGAAGGAGAACTGAGAATCTCCAGCCTGTCAAGACTTCATCCTTTCATTGGTCTCTGTTCTGAATCCCTTATGCACACCCCCTTACACTCTGTCTTGGGTGAACAGCAGGCCTTCATTCTCTTGACATTTCCAAATGACCCTGTATCCCGGTGTATGTACTAGGTTTTCTTCTCATGGATTGAGTTATATGTATTTGATTGCAAGCCCGAGTTCTGATTCTCCTCCAAAAATCCAGAGTGGTGGCACGAGTACCAAAACACCTAATTTTCAGAAGATTGGCTTATTTCAGAGTGTCATGTGTTAGGGCTGGAAGGTCTTACCAGATCACCTAACCCACCCTCTTCAGTCAAGGAATGAGGGGACCCAAGACCCACAGTGGCTAAGTGGCCTCCCTGACACACACAGCTGGTTGGCAGCTGACACACAACTAAAATCAAGGTCTTGACTACTCTATAGACGTCATTCTATAACATCTTGCTAGAGTTTTGAAAGAGGAGGGATATACTGGCTAAAACTGATACTTTACATCCTTCTGTGATTATCCATACCTGAGGTAGAACCACATTGATTGGAATTTCTAGGTTTTCAGGTCTGGTATCTCTTTTTCTTGTAAAATGTGGCCTTGAGTGCTGTGGAAAAGAGAAAATAAGATGTCTGCTTCCCAGCCCATCATCTGGGCCTCAATCTCTCATCTGTAAAACACAGGAGTTTCTACTCACTTACCTCCTCTTGTAAATTATGTACATTATGAAAAACTGAGTTTGAAAGAATGTGAAGATGATATCTGATAAGGGGCTTTATCAACATCTGAACAAAAGTTAAGATAGGTATTGTGGTTGGTGTCAAAGCCTTCCAAAAGCCTTTGGAGCAGAGATACCTACACCTAGCCTTTTTTAAAGATTATTATTTTTATCTCAAGTAAGAAGCCATACCAATGTTAGGTGCCAGGTATAGGTCCTATGCAGAAGTTGGTCACCAAAACACTCAGAACATTCCAGAGGTGACATCACAAAACAATATAGTGCTTTTCAAGGCTCATGGTCTCTGTCTCTGAGCATCTCAGGCAGGAATGAGGCATCTGGCAGCCAGAAAAAGCTCACCCTGGTGTGTCCACTTGCCTGGTCAGGGTCAGTGTGACACATAATAGTCCAAACACTAGCCCCCTGTTTGGTCATTCTGGCTGCCATTTGCATCCCTCCTGCTAGGCTGGGCTCAGATCCCTATCCTTTCTTCAGAGGTGGCATCGTCTACTTGTAGTTGGATTACTCAACAGGGAAGAAACCCAAACTGAATTCTTTCCAGACTGAGAAAAAATGAAATGCAATATGTTTTCTGACACCAACCAGTTCTCCAATTCTCTGACACCAGCTGGACATCCTGAAATTCCATTCAATTCTAACACAATCTATCTGTAGTTAGAATCGGATCCCAAAGTTAACGGCTTATTCCCACAAGACTGCCCCTAATTCAGATGCCTGGGCCACCAGTATTTCTGACTAACTGGCTACATCAGGGATTCCCACAACCCCCTCCTCGAGTTTGATAATTCGGTAGAATAGCTCACAGAACTAAAAAAAATAACAACCACACTTTACTTACAATTACTGTTTTATTATAAAAGATGCAGCTTGGGAACAGCCAAATGGAAGAATTGCTTAGGGCAAGACGGAGAAATAGAGATGTAAACCTTCCATCCTTATTCACTGACACGTCAGCCTCCCAGCATCTCCATGTGTTCACTAACCTAGAAGCTCTCCAAACCCTATTGATTAGGTGTTTTTATGGAGGTTCCACCACATGGTCATGATTGATTAAATCATTGGTCTTTGGTGATTGAAAATTTCCAGCCCACGCCCATCCCCTTTTCCAGAGGTGGGGCGCAGGGGGCTGACAGTACCCACCCTCTAACCACATGGTTGATTCACCTGGCAATCAGCTCCAATCCCAAAGCTATCTAGGGCCTCACTAGGAGTCACCTCATTAGCATACACTTATGTGCTCCAAAGGGGCTCCTTATGAATAATAAAAGACACATCTATCACCCAGGATATTTTAAGGGTTTTAGGAGCTCTGTACCAGGAACTAGGAACAAAGACCAAATATATATTTTTATTCGGCCATATGTATAAACTGCATCAAGACCACAATGCTGACATCTGGGCTTTGTGAAGGGGGCAGCCCCGCCCCATGATCTCAATTTTGTCCACTCTTTTGCCTCTAGTGACTGTTAGTGCAAGCCCTCTTGTGTATCTTGAGCCTCTAATAAGGCAGAAAGCTCCAATTCTGCATTATGATGCCATATGCAGGGGAAGAGAGTGGTAAGTCGAGGTCAGCAGATTCAAGGACACCTAAATGCCCAATGGAGTCTCCCACACCCAAGTTACAAGCAAGTATCACTCTAAGAAAATCTAATATACAGCAATTCAAATATAAAGCAAGAAGGTAATTAATCACATGATCAAAAAATTCCTCATTTTAAATGGGAACTTCTCCAACGGTGTTTTTTTAAATTGAAATTAAAATTTTATTTTTAAATTGTAGTTATAAACACACAACATTAAATTTACTATCTTAAATATTTGTAAGTATACAGTTCAGTAGTGTTAAGTATATTCACATTGCTGTGCAATAGAACTTTTTCATCTTGCAAAACTGAAACTCTATGGCCATTAAACACTAACCCAACACCCGCCCCCCTACATCTCCCCTGCCCTGGCAACCATCTTTCTACATTCTATTTCTATGATTTTGACTATTTTAGATACCTCATATAAGTAGAATCATACAGTATTTGTCCTTTTGTGACTGGCTTAATGGCTTAGCATCATGTCTTCAAGATACCTTCATATCAGGCATGTGACAGGATGTCTTTTTTAAGCTGTGTAATATTCTTTTTTATTTATATACCACATTTTATTTATCCATTGATGAACATTTGTACTGTTTTAACTGTTACTATTGTGAATAGTGTTGCAATTAACACAAGTATGCAATATCTCTTTGAGATCCTGCTGGAATTTTTTTGGATATATTCCCAGAAGTGGGATTGCTGAATCATATTCAGCTTTATTTTTACTCTTTTGAGAAATCCCCGTACTTTTTTTCACAGCAGCTGCACCATCATTTGACATTCCCACCAACAACACATAAGGGTTCCAAGTTTTCTGCATCCTCGTCAATATTCATTGTTTTCTGTTTCTCCAAGGTTTTCTCTCTTTTTTAATTCTCACCCAAGTATATTTTTAACAATGATTTTAGACAGAACAGAAGGGAGGAGAGAGAGAGAGAGAGAGAGAGAGAGAGAGAGAGAGAGAGAGAGAGAGATGGGAGAGACACATTGATTGGTTGCTCCTGCACACACCCCGACTGGGGTTGGGAATTGAACATGAAACCGAGAAAACACAGTTCAGTTTTCTCTTATACACACATCTCATTAAAACACCTTCACATCTATCTGATGAGCTAGGTCAGGAAGACAAAACAGAGAAGTAAGTAGCTGTTTTCATTTACTAGGGCAGCCCAAACAAAGGGCCATGAACTGAATAGCTTAAAACAATAGAAAATTGTTGTCTCACAGTTCTGGGGGCCAGAGGTTCAAAATCAAGGTATTGGCAGACCTATGCTCCCTCTGAAACCCGGAGAATTCTTCCTCACCTCTCTCCTAGTTTCTATGGTTGTTGGAAACCCTTGGTCTTCCTTAACTTGCAGAGTAGCATTTCAGCCTCTGCCTCTGTCATCACATAGGTTTTCCCCTCAAGCGTCAGTATCTGTTCTCTTCTTATAATATGACCAGTTATATTGGGTTAAGGTCCACCCTACTCCTGTATAACCTCATCTTAGCTAATTATATTTGCAATGACACTATTTCCAAATCAAATCCAATTCTGAGGTTTTAGAGGTTATGACTTCAACATACCTTTTTGGGAGGACAAAATTGAATTCATAACAGAAACTAATATTAACTGAACACCTAGTGAGCATCAGCACTGTGCTCAGCACTTGATATGTTATTTCACTGCATTAGAGTCACTGCTATGTAGGCAGGTCCTACCATCCATCGTTGGGATATAGTCCACCCTTGGGGGTCTCTAAACCCATCATGTGGCCCATCTCCAGCAGATAGAACCTCTTCCTCCCACAGACGGCACCTCTAGTGCCAAGGAGCACATGCTCTACCCCATGGACAAAAGACTCTGCCAATAAGCTGATGTATTTTATTACTATTATATATTATTCATATGTGTTATTTACATTATACTATTTTGCCTACTCTTAGTCCCACTGCCTTCCCTGATCTTTTGGCCATCTGGCCCCTAGTTCCCTCCAGGGTGATAAAATCCTTACCCCAGGCCTGTCCTGAGGCCATATCTAGAGAACTTACCCCATTTTAGTTCCTTTGTAGTTTTCTAAAGTTTTATCTGTGATATCATGGGGAGCTTATGGTACAGTTCATCCTAGAAAGGAAGTCTTACTATTGGATGATCACAAAACTCCCAGGGTCCAGGCAATGGTGCAAATCATTTCATTCCCCATTGCATCACCAACTGGTCAACCAGAGATCTCTTCTGATGGATGTCCGGGGTCTGTCTCTTTGTAGGCTCTCTCCTTCCTCACCTCCACCATAGTCTTTTGCCTCTCTCTTCAGAGGCCTGGCCCCCAGGTAAAAGGGCAGCCACCATATCTGGCTGATAGTGATGGCTCTCAGAGCATAATAGTAACTCATCACCCACCATTATCTGATCAAAGATCCTAACTACTCTATCCTGTGAGGGAAAGTGCTGGGGGAACGAAAGAAAGCAATGAACACCTGGACAGTCCTGCCACATTAGCATGAAAATAACTTCTTTTCCTAAACTCAAAGGGCTGTCATTAACAAGAATGAATGAGATACAAATAGCAAGGTCATGGACACTGGCGTCAGTCAGCAGACCTGTGTGCAAATCTGAAGGCCAAGAAATAGTTAATTACCATGTGTCTTAGTCAGCTCTGTGTGCTATAAGAAAATACCATAGACTGGAAGGCTTAGACAACAAACATTTATTTCTCATAGTTCTGGAGACTGGGAGTCCAAGATCAAAGTGCCAGAAGATTTGGTTCCTGATGAGACCCATTTCCTGGCTTGCAGATGGCCACCTTCTCGCTGTGTCCTGACATGATGGAGAGTTCTGGTTTCTTTTGCTCTTTTATAACACACTAATCCCATCCATAAGACTTCAGCTAAACCTAAATGAAAAGCCAAACCTCCCAATACCATCACATTGGGGGAGTAGGGCTCCAAAATAGGAATTTTGAAGGGACACAAATATTCAGTTCATAACACTATGTGACTTGGGCAAGTCCCCCTACCTCTCAGAAGTTCAATTTCCTCATCCCCATGAGGAAATTATATCTAATTTTAAATAACCCACACAAAGAGGCCAACACTTAGCAACCTCTCAATAAATAAGCATTGTTTTAGCACCCTCGTACAAAATTGCCTTGCTCCCTTTGTCTCAAGCAGCTGATTCACAATTGGTCCGCGATTAAAAAACTTGATACTGCAACTTGTGTGAGGGTTTGTTTGTATGCTTTCTGATTGACTTGCTTTTTGTCTTTAAGGGAAGAGCATTGTGAGCTGGGCCATTCTGGTACTGGCATCTGCCATTGCCCATTAGCTGGGTTCCTTCCTCTTCTGTAGGCTGCATGCATCCATGACTCAGTACTGAGAGGCCTCCTTGAGATTGCACCCAAAATGCCTGTCATTACTCAGATTAACACCATCATCAATCATCTATGTTCTGTGAGCATCCACAATCGGTGAACGCTACCCAGAGCTCAGAGGTAGGCATGCCTCATGGGTTTCTAATCTAAGCAGACGGGTAGAGCAGAAACAAAGGAAAGGGCAAGCGTGCAGCCGAGACTCTCTAGGCTTTCCTCGCCTGCAACTGTCTGATGATGAACCACAGGGAAGAATTCAACAAACAGGATGGTCTATTAGAGAGCACAGGGTCTCCTGCCCTACCAGGAG